CACTTTCTGAGAAAAATCTGGTACCAAATCATCTTTAAATTTTACTGTCTGACAAAATTCTCTCAAATTTTAAACAAATTTTGTTGGATAAAGATTGACATAGATTCAAGACTAAGATTTTGATATGAGAATTGTTTATATCATTCGAATCAGTTTTTCAATCCAATTCGAATAACGTAAAATCAGGCGGCTATCACGCAAATTAACCAAGATACGGTCAGAACGATAAATTAATATAATATTGGCAAATATAAAATTTTTTGGTAAAATTTTCAAAAATGAAATTATAAGCAAATGAAATTATTCGCAATTTGGACGACGTTATAACAATTAAAATTTGGCAAGAAAAAATGTTTTCTGGTGCTTTAAGATGTTGGGATCGGCTTAACTTTACCATCCGTGAACCAACTTTCTATTTTTTGGTAGCAAACATTTTCTCATAGAGTTGTGAATAAAAGTAAAGGCTAGGGTTCACCTTAGCAACACACTGAAAGTCATGTTTTTCTAATGTAAAAAGATGCGCTGAGTTCAAAAAACACTATTAAAGTACTCAAAACGGTGCTCGAAGGCATTTTTTCCCGGATTTTCAGACCCCTGAAAATCGAAAACCAAAGGGGGGACCAAGCTGATTTTTGGGGTCAAAAATTCGAATAGGCGAATTATACCTCATTCAAAAGAGCTCGACGAGCTGAGTCGAATGACACCAAAATCAACGAAATCTGACTTGATTTGACAAAGTTATAACCGTTTGTTTTTACTCCTTCCACAAGGTCTTCGCGGAAAAAAGTTTCTGCCGCTGCGGAGGAAGCCGGGCATGTCGAGCCCGGCTTCCTCCGCCTACCCTCCGTAGCAGCACAAAAACAGTTTTTCCAGCGAAGATTCTGTTGGTCATAACTTTGTTCATAATCATCCAATCGAGCTGATTTTGGTGTCATTCAACTCAGCTCGTCGAGCCCTTTCGAATGAGCTATTATTTGTATATTCGAAATTTTGACCCCAAAAATCAGCTTGGTCCCCCTATGGTTTGCGATTTTCAGGGGTCTGAAAATCCGGGAAAAAATGCCTTTGAGCACCGTTTTGAGATCTTTTATAGTGTTTTTTGAACTCAGCGCATTTTATTACACTAGAAAAACGTGTTTTTTGTTGTGTTGCTAAGGTGAACCCTTACCAAAGTAAAAAACAATTATGAATTTTTGTTGCGCTTGAAGCGAGATATAAGTGACGGAAAATTTGCCGCACTCTGTAATTTTAATATTTAGGCATTTTACAGAAAAAATGTAAACACCCTAAATATTTTTTAAATTAATTTCCTTATTTTGGTTGCTAGTTTCATGACTAAAATATAAAAATTTGAATTCTAATTAACAAAAATTTTTCCGTATCAATATTATTTTAGACTCTTTAAATATTTTACCGTTCCACAACGAGGCCATGGAACATTAACATGATGTGATCTAATTTTTGTATCCATTGATTCTGTTTTCCACAAATTTCCAACATGCGATGAGCAAAAATTACCAAAATTCATAAATTCAAAATCATGTGGGAATTTTTTGCTGACATGTTGAAATTTTATACATGTCAATTCACTAAAATTTTGGTAGATTCAGAATTTTATGGAAAGTTACGTTTTATGGGTAGTTACGTTTTTAGTTTGATTTTAGAAATGAACAATATTTTAAACATGTTTTCGAGATTCAAAACAAAATTAGGAATTTACCTTAAGGTCATTAGACCTAAGTTTATGTTTTTAATCCAATCACCTAAAAATTTAATTAAACAGAAATTTTATTTAATGTTTAAAATACCCTCAATATCAGAAGAAAGAGAATAAATTATAGGCATTTTCCAAATAGTTAAGTTCATTTCCCTCCCTTCAATAAAAATAAATTGCCTTTTATTACGAATTTGTTCTTTGTCACTTTCTTTACAACCTGAAATTTTTATAAAAGCTTTTCGGTTTTTAATTTTCTTGAATTTTTTTATTAAAATTGAATATGGCTTTAAACAGAGTATATCTAATGTCTGACGTAGAAATTTTTATTAATAAATTTTAAGTTAAGCGAGTTATTTTATTAGTTTATTAATTTTCATAAAACTATAATCTCATTTAAAATTTTACATTTCTTCTGATTCTTAATCAGTTTAACAACTTGATCGTATCTCAACAGAATATCACCAGAACTAATATCAATAGCATCTTCACACCCATAAACCAATCCATCCGCATCAACAGTCCCTAACAAAGGGTCGTCTTTTACACTTCGTTTATTTCTAGCTCCAGGAGGTACATTTAACCAATCCTCGGGCTAAAAAGTTATCTTTTAGATGAATATTCGAATTATGGCCTAACACATTAAGTCCCTTAATCTCCTAATATAAATGGATTTTTTGATTTTTGAATTTCACAAAAATGAAGGGTAGCTTTTTGGTAAATTTTCGGATTTATATGAAGCTTTCTGAATTTATATTTAAAAATTAACCAAATAACAAAAAGTACCAATAAGCTAACATGCGGTTACTCTAGAAAAATAGTATGTATTACTATATACGATGGTCGCGGCTCTATTTCACAAGGGCATTTCTTAATCAATTCCAAATATTCATTAAACGCATCTTTTAGTTTGTTGTAATCCTCTAGTCCAAGTTGATCACATTGATTGGGTCCACGTTTATACTAAATATTAATGATGCTCGTGAATCAAATTTACCGAGACCGAGACGGGAACTAGGTCCGAGACCGGGATGGGAAATCGAGACACAAAAAACCGAGAAAAATCTCGGATCGAGACCCGAGATCGAAAAATTTTCTTGAAAATTGGGTAAAATTCAGACTTTTTAAAAATTTTAACATTACATCAACATGCCAAAAAATTGAGATATTACTTCATGTCAGCGAGTACTGATGTGATATAAGAGTATAAATGCATAATGATTTGGACTGCAGTAAACCAATCTTTTTTAGATTTGAACAATTTATAAGTCATTCGAAAGAGTTTGTCGAGCTGAGTCAAACGACACCAAAATTATTCCGCGGATCAACTGTGGGCCGAGATATAGGTCCCCAAAAATCGAAAAACCATAGGGGGGACCAAGCACTTTTTTGGGGGTGAAAAATTCAAATATGTACCTCATTCGAAAGAGCTCGACGAGCTGAGTTGAATGACGCCAAACTTTGCGGACATATAGATAGCGAGCTGGACTTTTACCGGTTTTAAAAAACCTCGACCTCAAACCTCAGCCAGAATTTGCCACTCGACCTTTATCTCCGCTTTTCCAGCCTCTTGCAACTTTAGATTAAATAAAATATTTTAATCAAAAATATTTTAAAAATTCAAAAAGTTTTTTGGTGTAATTAAACAAACAATAAAGATTTAAAGCAAACATGTGGAAGGGATGTCGCTGGGTGAGAAAACTCCGATTTCGTGTGTTTCTTCAAACTTTTCTTCGGATCGTGTTTCGTGTCGAAAAATGTCCGGGTCTCGGATCTCATGTTGTGATACGGAAAATTTTTCGGATCGAGTTTCGAGTATCCGTGTTTCGAGTTCTTCAGATCGTGCTAATGATCGTGTTCGAACCTGTAACATCTCTGATGTTTCTTATCAATGTGTAATTTTAAAAAAACTCACACAGCTAAGTTCCTTCACAACCAACTCATTGTTTAAATTTAGCTGCATTGAGCTATAGCACGATTTTTCTGGGACAGATATAATTTCAAAATTTGTAGCAAACAACTGCTTTCCCTCTATATTCATGTCAGGGCCTATCAATGCCATAGCGCCACCCTGTTTATTTTGTTTATGTTTTATAAAATTTATATAAAAAAAGAGTCCACATATACTAAACAGAGAATGATATTTACCTCTTTTACAATTTCTTGAATGGTTTTATGCTCAAGATTTCCAATAACAGAACTTCCATAATCATAAACATTTCCATTCATTTCATCAGTCAGAATTGCAAAATTCTTTCCATTATTTCCCAATTGTAATGAAAATAATTTAATGTTATTTTCTTCTCTATTTAATATATCAAGATAGCGTCTCCCACTGGGGAAAGTTCCAATTTTACCGGTTACTTTAATTGTTTTGCCAAATACTATTCTTAAAATTATTCAATATTAATACAGGGTGCGGCAAATTCGCGCAACTTTTTATTTTTACCATAACTTTCTTCATTTTTATCAAAAATTGATAATTCTTTTTTTATTTAACACCTAACACTTTAGGAAATTCATTGGTACCAAATACTAAACATTTTGTTTTCGGATAGCAAAGAAAAACGAGAACAAACATAAAAACGGGAAAAAATGCAATTTTTTTTGTAAAAGTTTAATTGATCATAACTTTGTTCAAGATCATCCAATCCCAATAATTTTGGTACCAATCGACTTGTCTCGTTCAGGAGTATCGAAATAACTTATAATCTCATTTTCGAAAATTTCACACAAAAAATTCATTTTTTCCAAAGTTTGTTTAATTTATCATTCAGTGAGCCGTATCTCGGTTCATCTTTGTGATAGCTGAATGATTTTTACGTCATTCGAATCGGATTGCTGAGCTGATTCGAATGATATATAAATTTTACATATCGAAATCATACCCCCGACTCCAGTCCAATTTTTATCAAAAAAATTTTGCCTAAAGTTTGACGGGAAATTAATCATGCTAAATTGTAAAATTCAAAAGCGATTTTGGTACCAATAAATTTCCTAAAGTGTTAAGTATAAAATAAAAAAAGAATTATCAATTTTTGATAAAAATGAAGAAAGTTATGGTAAAAATAAAAAGCTGCGCGAATTTGCCGCACCCTGTATTATGTAAATGGACAGAACATTAAAATAGCTTCAAGTATTTTCTTTAAAAAGGATTCAAAAAAAATTTTTTAAATCCCTGAACTAGAAATTTAAAAAATTACAACTTTTCATTATCAAAATTTCACCACATTAAATTAATATGATATTGATATAATTTTGAAGGCAGACTTTATCAATTTAAATATTAAATCCCAAATAATAAAACTAACGTTTTCTCTGAAAATGACGATCCGATCTCAACATTAACACTAAATTTAACCCAATACTCTTCTTCTAATTTTTTAAATCCAATTCTGGTCGCATAAATTCGGAATTCAATTCCATGTTTTCCATATTGATCATCATCTTCATATGTTCTACAAGCTTTTGCATAATCACTTTTTGGATTATTTTTTATCTGAAATATCAGAAGATTAGTAAAGCTACTTTTAAAATCATCAACCTGATCGCCAAATTTAGTATAATAGCAAATTGTTAAATTGACTGAATTCCAACTAAAATTAGTTTTAAGTTTCTTATAATTTAATTCAAAACTTACTCTCTCATTCTGTTTGTTTCGTCAGATTTGAATACGCATATATCAAACTCTTCCACCATTCCAGATAATCGTTGCTTTTTTGCTTCTTCAACATTACAGGCAAGATTACTTAATCCTGTCAATACTTCAATTCGATTTGTGATAAAATTTTGATTGGCGAAGAACTTATCCTGTTAAATATAAGAAAATATTGTTATACTTTTATTGGAGATTAGACAAAGAACACACTCGAAGTTGAAATTTATTAAATTACAGTGTTTTAAATTTAATTCCTTACACAATGGCTAGTAGTATGAAATTCATATCCATCAAGTTTTAATTTTAAATGACAAGATTTTGAAGGAAATTCCATTTGATCATAAAGACTACTAAAATAATTCCATAATTCCATATCTAATCCAAGAAGTGAAATTGCTTCATTCTTTATGTAATAAAAAATTTATTACAAAAATTAGAATAAATTTCTTTAAGCATTTTTGTTTTAGAAATTTGATTAAATTTCTAAGGTAATAGGAGAATTCAGTCAGTAAATTTGACAACGTATAGGAAGGGGAGTTCGACTCGGATTCACCAAAATTCGTTGGGCAAGGACAAGATCTAACCCTAGTCCCTTTTCTCATTTATATTAATTTAAATATATTTTTAAAAATATGCATTTACTGTTGAGAAAAGTGCCATCAAAATAAATTCGAAAAAAATTTAATACCCCTTCAGCAATCATCTGAAAACTATTTTCTTTGTGCCCATCCCTTTTGCTAAATAACAAATTAATTCTATATTTTGCACTTGACGAATAATCCAATTTTTTCCCGTTCATTCCAATTAAACTAGCGAAGTGTTTGTCTTCATTGCCTAGTTTAATTGTGAAGATTGTAAAAGTTGCGTTAGCTTTTGAGGGAGGTTCCATAAATCCGTTGGTTTCGTTGATCAGTCCAGTAATGGTCACAGAGTTTTGAAAAGAAAAACTTAAAAATATTATGCTTTAATATATTATGTCCCCAATTTCTCTTAAAATCTTTCGATATTTCATATCCCTCATTATCCCCTTTAATCCCTCCAGATCCTCTCGTTTAAATTTTAAAGAAATAAATAGTAAATAACGTTGATCAAAAGTTTTTAAGTCTTCAGGGTTTATGTCTAAATGTTTAGGTTTTTTGAACATCTATTGCATAGATTAACTTAATAGAACATTCCCTCCCCGTTAAAAACAAAATTAATTATTTTAATTATCACCTTTTGTGGGTGAAAGAAAATCCAATTTTTGAATAAACATTATATTCAATTTTATATTCATTTTTATTATTATCACGTTCAAAAGATTTCCTTCTAGCACAAACATTCATCTTTATTGCGTGTTGCCTTGGTTTCTTACATTGGTTACCGAATCCATTTTCTTTATTTTTTAGCTGTTTTAACAAAAAATATTTTTTTCGGAAATTTCCGACAAAATACCTCAATACGTTCATCATCCCCTTCTAATTTTGAGTTATAGCAAATTATAAATGTCGACCACATTTCTCTTTAAAATTTAATTGGATTAGTTACTAATTAAATTTAAAGCTTTTTTACTCTTCGCATTCCTCATTATATCCTTTATCAATTACTTTACATTTCTTATCCAAATCTTTTTTGTTTATTTTTTCAAATTTCCCTGGAAGACAGCCTAATTCATAAATGTTTGCCACCAATTCCAATTTATGAGGGCTGTAAGCTTTTGATCGACGTTTATAGAAATCCTTAAAAAAAGAATAACTTTTAAATTCTCATTTTAAATTTATTATTATTTCTTTGATTTCAACTACAATTTAAGAGAAGAGGGAATCAATCTAGATTCTTTTCAACCAAAAATCTTCCCCTTCCCTGTTGTGTACCGGAATGGCCGGGTTACCTGAGAGCCGACGGCGCCCGCTTTTCAACCTTCGAGCCGAAATCCGAAACTCGATCCGAAGAAAATTTCGAAGATTCAAAACCCCGATCCAACTTTTTCCTCACCCTGCCCTTCCCTTTAATGTAAATTTGGAATTTAACAAAAGCAGAAAATATTCTAAAAAATGTCTCTCTATTGAATTATGTACAAGTAATAATTAATTAAAAACTATCCACCACCTCATTTACAGGACATCTATTTATTAACTTCCAGAGAAATTGTCGGTTAGCCGGTTTAGTCTCGAAGTTTTTACTAGACTGTTCCTCCAACATGATATCCAATTTTAGCGCCAAAATTCCAGGAAAATCATCAAGCAAAGGTTTTGGCTTTTTAATAGAATTTGTAAAGTTTATGTCAACTTTACTATCTAATAAAATCTTTTCTTAAAAATGAAACTATTTGTTTTTATAGTTTAAATTCTAAATACCCTTGAGAGTGTTATCCTTTCCTTGCAAAAAATTGAAAAGTACCGATGGTGTGGTATCGTGTAAGAGAATTCGGTTACTTTAAATTAATTAAAAATTAAATTTGAATATAATTAAAAATGTATTAAAAGTTAAAGAAAGATTAGAGAGACTACAAGAGCGACTACAAATTCGGCCAAAAATTCTTTCTTTACACAAAAGTAGCTTTACGACAGTCGATCAAATTCTGAAAGACATGAATTTCTCTCCTAAATCTTGCAGTCTATAATTTAAGCCGTTTTGTAAAGGTCCTAGCGAGTATTTTAGAAGAATTCGTAAAAGAAATACAGTGCTCTCTCAATATTCCTCTCCAATATTTTCTCAAATTTTAAAACAACTTTTAATTTAAATCCAAACTCTTGCGGAAAAATATCAGCAAATATTTCCACATCATTTTTTCCATCTTTAAATACAATTACGCCGTGCCATTCAATATTTTTAACATTTCCGAGCTTAGCTTCCTTTTCCGAATTGAGGCAAAGTTTGCTTTCACCTTTTTTCGTTAATTCAAAGGCCTTGGATGGTTTCCAATTTCCTTCAGAATTAGGAGAAAGCTTGCTGGGGTAGCAGAACAAAATTCTGAAATTTTATTTAATTAATCTTTTTTATAAGGCAATAAGTATGTAATGTCTCGATCCCAAAAAATCAAGCGGTTATTCTAAATATTTTTTAAAATTAATTATTTACCCGCTACATCCCGCCACATCATTAATCGGCATTTTATCAGCATTAATGTCCTTCTCCATAATTACTTTAACAGTACTTATGGGCTCGAACATTCTGTCGTTTATGGAGCAATTTATTAGAAAAATTCGAACACAGAAAACCATTAAAATAGCTAATAATGCCTGTAAAGACATAATAACCATTTTCAATGAAAATTCTGAAAATTTAATAATTTTATTTCCAAGATTTAATCCTCGTTATAAATCTACCATGAGAACTGATAGGGAATATACCGTATTACCTCTAATAGAATGCCCGGGTTTTCTAATTTTCAAATACCTTCCAGAAGGGCATTCTATTCAGTTTTATTTAGAGATAGGAAAATTCTAAAATCAAATTTGAAGTCGAATTTGAAGTGAAGCTTTTGAGGTTTAAGCAAGTGGGTTATGGTGATTAAGAGGCGGATTATATCAAATATTAAGGGTGATATTAGAGAGTAAGAGGTTAAATTTATTCATTTACTATATGTATAAAACTGCTAACGAATAAATTTAAAAAATATTTTATCTAAAGCTAAACTAAAATGAAAACTAAAAATATGTGTTAACAGAAAATTTAATATTAGTACATAAACACATAAATAAATTTAATTATAAAATTAAAAAAAGGATATCAACAAAAATATGATTCAACAGATAAACGATTAAAGTTTTTAAATGTAAAAATTCATTACTTGGATGGAATAAATTAACTAAATTTTTTAGTAGCTAAAAATGCCTTTAATCACTATAACCATCTTAACGAAAATCTAGGAAAATTTTTAATATTTAAAATTGAATTTTGTTATAAACACACTATAGGGACTGAGCATAGACGGACGTAACATTATATTTTAAGAAATCATGATAATGATCTGGAAAATCTTAGATTATATATCAGTGCTGTAGGGTGGCTATATAATCGTTTATGTGACACTTTATCAAATGGAGTTATAGTTGAATATATAAATTAAATGATTTGAAAAACTAAAAATTTATTTATTAAAATTGTTTAAAAATATAAAGTAAAAATAATTATCTAGCAATAAAAAAATTAAAAATGATAGAAAATTGAAAAATTAAAAAAGGCAATCAACAGTGTGTGTGGTCAATCAACAAAGTGTTGATGACTAAATTTATAAATTCAAAAAAATATTTTATAACTAGATGGAGGATATAAATTTACAAATAAAGTAAAAATTAATTAATAGCTAGTTTTTTATTTTAAATTTTAGTAGTAAACTATTTAGTAGTATTTGATAATTAGATGGATAATCCAAACGTTTTTAATTTTTTAAATTTAATTTTCGAATTTTGTTTATAAAAATAAATAATTTTTTTGGATCAATTTTAAAACTTTCAGGCTAATTTTGTTTAAAAAATATTAGAGTATAACACAATCAAAAATAAAAATAAATTTACATATAAACAATTCAATTTAAACAAAAAGCCGGCAATTTTATATTAAATAAAATTGTTGATTTGATCAAACTAAAGTTAAATTTATTTATTAAATTCTTCTTAATTTCCTTTATTTAATCACCAGAGTAGACTAAATACTTGAGAATTTTCCCAATATCAATTGGTGAGCTAAAACTTTCCAACTGAAATTTACAATTTAAATCTATTAGAGTAAATTAAAAAGTTTCGTTCCAAATCGTTTCCAAAATTAGCTTCTACAAAACAACAAGTCAGAGCAACATATAATTATATGCCTTTACCTTCAAAATAAAATATTTATAATTCACTTTGAATTAAATATTTATAAATTTTTCCCCATTGGTAGGAATCGTTGACATTTAGTGATACATATTTTACTTTTTGAAAATGTAATAAAAAAAACTTTCTTGAAAATGGCTAATAATTAATAAAAAAAAACTTTCAATTTTTGAGTTCTTGCATTTCTTGCGTTGATTTTTGGCTTGTGTTCTGTTATTTTTTAAAATTTTTAATAATTAAAATATATAGAATTTAAGAGAAAAATTTAATAATCAAAGTATTTATTTAAAACACAAAAAATTGGTTATTTTAATTGATAAATAGTAAATCAGAATCAAAACAAGTAAAATTTAAAAAAATTAAATTCTCAATAAAATTCTTTAAGAATTAAATGTTCTGAAATGTTATATTTAAATGGTTTTAACACCAAATTATTTCCAAAATTTGCTTCAATTGAACAACTTTTCAGCCAAACATAAGGTTTATAAAAAGAGTCTAAATTTATTTTTACTAATGTAGCTTTACCTTTAAAAAACAATTTTATTCAAATAATTTTTAATTAAATATATACCAATTTGTTTTCCATTTTGAGTAAAGAAAACATAAGGAAATTTTTCATTTAATTTATTATTTGGAGGATAAACTAATCCACAACCATAAATATCATTATTATTGAAATCTGTCGAAAGTTTTTTACATTCATCGTCATAAATTGTATCATCATCTGCACAATACCAAATATAATTATATGTATTACAACCAATTTTAATCACAACTGCCTCCTTATAATTTTCAAATTTACATTTAACTTCAAAATAATGTAAAGAATAATTCAAGCAACGTTGTGGACTTTTAAATGAATTTTCTGCATAAACAATAACAAGTTGATCGTCATCTTAAAATATTTACACAAATTTAAAATTAAAAAATTTCAATTAATATACCTCCCAACAAATATTTAATATTTTCATCATTGATAATATTTCCATATCCATTTCCATTAATACAATTACCAATAGGTTTGCATGTAGTTATACAATTATGCTTACAACAAACAGTATCAATCTCACTCCATTTATTTTTAATGTTAACAAATATAACACAATTCAAATAAATAAATTTATTTAAATCACCAGTATTTTTGTCAATCAAAACATTTGCCTTTAATAAATAAAATAATATTTTTAATAAAAATCAGTGTAATTAGATTATATTGGACCCACTAAATAGATTTTGACATTGGAAATAAAATCAGTCTTCTCATTGCAGCTTTTCTACAAACATAAAAGAAACAGGAAATGGGATTTTTGTGAATATACAGTAGTGATGTTCGGGTATGCCGACCCCGACTCGGGAAAATTTCCCGAGTTTTTGACCTCCCGACACCAACAACAAAAATGAGCTTGCTCCTTTCTATGGTTTTTGACACTCGAGCCGGAAAAATCGAATTATTTTTTGGGTGTGTCATAACGTAGTAGTATATCGGTATAATGCATCTCCGGGGGAAAACGTGGAGGGGGGGGTGTTAATTTAGGGGGTGTTGCATAACGGAAAAGTATCGAAGGAAGCACAAATAATATACTAGTAGGATCTCGTATACTTACCTTTTTAATTTGTTCCTCCAAAGATTTAATATTCTCATATTTTTGTTTTAACGAATCATCGTTTCCATCTTTTAATTTTTTAGAATTTCCTTCAATTAATTGTAGTAATCTAAGTTTTAAATTTTTACTTTCATTTTCATGTTCAGTCTTGAGATTTTGAATTCCCTGAAAATATTTAATTTATTATATAATTTAACTAAAAGTTTAATGTCATTAGTTTAAAGAGAAGAGTCAGCGAATAGGCTCCTGTCCAGATTAAGTGTCTTTCCGCACCCTTGCGCATCCAATAAAGTTTACGCGACCAAACAAATCGTTTCGTTAAGTCAATTTTTGTGTTCAATCTATAGCAATAAGTACCCGAATTTGTATTAGAACAAAAGTTCGGTTAGTCGCGTGTGTACAATAACTCAGTGTGATTAGACATGCAGTACCGGGTACTTATAGCCATTAATTAGACCCATAAAAATTTGATTGGAAGCAGAAACGTTTTGTTGGACACATCAAAATTTGCTTGGATGAATGAGCTTTTCATTGGACGCAAAATCCGGGGTTCAAAATAGATAAATTCTAAGCTCAATTTTGGACGCAGCAATCGGTTACATACTGGCAGATCTCAAAAATAAAGAATAAGCTCTTTGGCTCATTTTTTCTAGGGACTAATGTTCTCCAAGATTTCTAAAATTTTTTAAAACGAAATTCAATCTCTAACGTTTATTCATATGAAGGTTTTGTTTGTAACAATTAATAAATTAATACATATAGAGGTATTTATTTAGGTTCCGTGACTTTTGCGCCGAGAACATTTGCGCCGCGACTTATGCGCCGCGACTTTTGCACCGCGACTTATGCGCCGAGCGACTTTTGCGCCGGGGGACTTTTGCGCCGCGACTTTTGCGCCGGGCGACGTTTGCGCCGCGACTTTTGCGCCGGACGACTTTTGCGCCGCCACTATCATTAATAATTATGAAAAACTACAGCCGGGCCTTACTATAGAAGATGTAGGATAGTTGGAGATCTTCGGATATCAAGATCCGGATCCGACCTAAAATTTTCGGTAATCGTGAAGAATTGGGGATACACTTTTAAAAACTTGAAAAATTATTATTTTTTTTCTGAAAATTACTATGCTGAAACGAATCCGTTAACAGATTTTTTCAAATATGACATTTTATCTATGATTTCATATCATGTACTTGATTTCCAGCTAAGATTCTGTTGGTCATAACTCTGTTCAGAATCATTCAATCAAGCTGATTTTGGTGTCATTCGACTCAGCTCGATGAGCTCTTTCGAATGAGCTATAAATTGTATAATCGAATTTTTTGACCCCAAAAATTTCCAAATCTGGGGGTCTGTAACTCGGCCAAATGAAGTCGGATTTCGTTGATTTTGGTGTTTTCCGATTCAGTTCGAGCTCTTTCGAAAGAGCTATAAATTTTATAATCGAATATTTTAACTCAAAATCGAAAAAGTTCTTGCATATTTAAAATCTATGGGTTTTCGATTTTTCGGGGGCCTATATCTCTGCGAGTTTTCGTCCCCGGCAAAAAGTTCTTGCATATTTAAAATCAGCATAGTCGATTACCTATATAAAATGATTTTCAGAAAAAAATAATGATTTTCAGGGTTTTTAAAAGTGTATCCCCAATTCTTCACGATTACCAAATTTTCGGCTATCCGGCCTTTCTCAGATCCGGATATCTGGACCCGACAACACACACTATAGTGCACCCTCTTCAGGCAGAAAATCATGTCTGAATAGGGGTAGCTGACCACATAACCTGATTTGAAAAAGTCAAGTTCTTTGAAGATGCCCCCTCTAGGGGGTCAGTTTATTTTTCA